CTTGGCACATGTAGATGCTCAGCAGATGCTTACTGAATGCACAGAAGAATTACTACATCAGGGGTGCCTTGGTGGCTTAGTCATTAAGCATCTGCCTTCAGCTCAGGTTGTGATCCCAGGGTCCTGGGATCCTGCCCTGCCTCGGGCTCTCTGCTCAGCAGGATGCCTGCTTCTCCCTCTCCCACTCCCCTTGCTTGTGTTCCCTCTCTTCCTGTGTCTCTTGATATCAAATAAATAAATAAAATCTTAAAAAAAAAAATCACCACATCAGGAGACAGGATTCACTCTGGCTCTGTCACTAATTAATGTGTGACTTCAGACAAGTCATTTATCTTGTTTGGATCTCATTCACCTAAATATAAAATTAGAAAGTTGGATCATGTAAGTTGTTCCTCAAGATGAAATATTATTCACTAAAAAAAAAAAACACAACAAACATTTTAAACTCCCTAGGGACCCATTCATTTCTGTTATTTGGGTATAATTTGGGATTCTGCATAAATTTAATTTGAAAAACCATGGGGGAGAGCTTATTTATTGGGGGGACAGTTTATTTTTAAATGGTTGCAAACTACTAAACCAAATGACCTATAGGATTCCATCAAGTATTGATATTTTTTGCAATTTTATTTCCTGGACTATTCATAGCCTATTCCAAAGTGATGATGAGATCAAACTGTAAAAAAGTTAATTCAATTTCCACTTGGGATTGTACCTGAAACTAATATAACACTGTATATTAACTATACTGGGATTAAAATTTTTTAAAAAATTCTACTTGGTTCCATCTCCAGGTAAAATTGTGAAAGAGACTAAGGTAGGTTTCCATTGCCTCTATACTTCATCTGGACACCACCCCTCCTTGGACGTACTATTGTGCTGGGCCAATAAACAGCTGGAGCACAATCCTGGCACGTGCCTCCACACCAAATCTATTTTCCATTATATCCTCTTTAGAACTTATTATGTCAACTAATCTACTGGATTAACAGAGTCATGCTAATTCCTTAGGATCAACAGGTCTGGGACGGACCTTATAGTCACCTGCTAAGTCACTTGGTAACCAAGGCCCAGAGCAGGAGATTGATTTACCTGAGGCCAGAATCAAGTTCCAGGTTTCCCATTTCTCAGGCCAGGGTTCAATCTACTGACCAATAAGTAGCTCACACCCCTGACTATAAATGAAGATTGTTCAGAGGGCTTTGTAAAATGCTGCACCCAGTCTCCACCTCCAGAGAGTCAGAAGTAGTCTAGAGTGGGGTCCAAGCATCACTGATTTTTTTTTTAAAGATTTTATTTATTTATTTGTCAGAGAGAGAGAGCGAGAGCAAGCATAGGCAGACAGAGTGGCAGGCTGAGGCAGAGGGAGAAGCAGGCTCCCTGCCGAGCAAGGAGCCTGATGTGGGACTCAATCCCAGGATGCTGGGATCATGACCTGAGCCAAAGGCAGCTGCTTAACCAACTGAGCCACCCAGGCATCCCAAGCATCACTGATTTTTTAAAAAGATTTTTTCATCCAAGTGCAACATATACTCGTAAAAGTGAATCAATTGTAAATGTAGATGTTAATGAATTTTCACTAACACCCATCAGCCCAGACCAAGAATCAGAAGATGTCCAGCACCTAAAACTCTCCCCAAAGAGAATTGCTATCCTGATTTCCAAAACATAGGTTGCTTTTGTGTGTTTTTGTATTTTATGTAAATAAAATACATAGAATGTCCTCTTTCATGACTCACTTCTTTTGCTCCAAATTATGCTTTTAAAATTCATCCATATTGTTTGCTATGGTTTGCTATATTTCATTCCCATTGCAGAACAGTTATTTTATTGTGTGAATATACCACGATTTGTGATTCATTCTACTATTGATGGACATTTGGGTAGTTTCCAGTTTAAGGATATTATAAATCGTGTATCTTCTAGCATATAACTTTTAGTGAAAATGTGCAAGCATTTCTTTTGAGTGTATGCTTAGGAATGGAATTGCTGGGTCCTTTGGGTATACCTGTGTTCGGCTTTAATAGACACTGTGAAACAATTACTTCAAGTGACTGTACCAATTTATACTTCCTATCTGAACTGTATGAGAGTTCCAGTTATTCCACATCTTCACCCAAACTTCGTATCATCAGTTTTCTTGGGTTGTCATTCTGGGGTGTGTGTGAGGATATTACATTGTTTTTAAGGTCCCCAAATGACTCTATGGGCAGAAAAATCATGAGAACCTCTGCTTTTTCCCTACCCTCATCACCACTTGAGGCTTATGAAAATAATGCTCTTGCTTTTATTGTCTGACTCAATGCTTCTAAAATATCCTAAAAGCCAGCTCAAAGTGTTAGACCACTAAAATAAAAAAAAAAATTTTAAAGATTTTCCTAATGTATGCAAAAAATAATAAATTGGTGGATAAAAATTTTACTTAAAGTTCTCTGGTAAATTGTTCTTATATTTTTGGCACCCACTGTTGCTTTCCACTAGTGAATGCTAATAGCCAACAAAATAAACAGGCAAGAAATGAAACAATAACTTTTTTCCAATCCCTCACATGGAATTCTAGAATATGCAATTTCCTTCTATAAATGTTTGTTGTTGTAACCGCACGCATTTTCTGCTAAGTATACACCTTTCTCTGTGCTAAAGAGGCGCTAATGTCCTTTGTTCTCCTCTCTGGGATTCCATCTTCCTTATAGCTAGGGAAAGGCAGCACTATGTACCACATGATCCTCTTCTGCCTACAACTGATTGCATCAAGAGTAAACACCTGGCTCAAGTTGAGCCAATCAGATCCTCCCTCTCTCAGCAATTAGGAATTGGGACTTAAAGGCTAAGTTAGTTATTTAGAGACATACAGTTATGTGAAATTGGAACCAAAGTTGGTACCAAATTTCTTGAAAGCCACATAAAAGCTGATGTGACATTGGCATGAGCAGCACTTAGGAGCATATACCAACAAGAAAGCTTGAGAGCAAAATTAAATATGGATTGCACAAAATAATTTCAGTCTCAGAAACCCAAATTATTTAGTTATCTGGTACCATATCAGGACAAGGGGAGATGAATGGCAACTACTTTTTGTCATTAAATCAGAAAGGCATGGAGCCTGAAATAGAGATCCAGACTCAGGAGAAAAATCTCTTTTAACATGTTAAGAAGAGTAATCCTGAAGATGTCCTCTTGGATAAGGGATGATAAATGGAAATTAATGGTTCAGATGCCATTGATACTAATTTAAGGTGCATTAAATATCATTGATTTTGGTATTTGATATCATTAAATATCATATATCATGATTTTGTCATTTGTTGTGCTGTCTTTATGGTGTGTTTTAGTGAATGTAAGATAATTCAGAAGCTTTCAGCAAGTCATAGAGTTATTATCCATTTAGTATAATTTTTCCCATACAGGTCTAAATCTTTTTAATATGAATTTTCCAATCATGTGGCTATTAGGTAGTGGACCTCTAAAGTTGGAGATGAACAAGTGAATTAACAGACAAGTTAGGAGGAAATCAGCAGTGCTCCATTTAACAGCTCATTACTTTATTTTTAATGATTTATATCAGTTAGAATTGGCTAGGTTTTGCTATGGTAACAAAACTCTAAACTATTAATGGCTTAAACACACAGATGTATTTCTTGTTCATACCATGTTTGATGTATGTTGGCAAAGGAGCCTACTTACTGTAGCAACTCTGTGACTCTGGTGAGCAAGGTCTCCATCTCAACATAGACTCATGAAGACTATACTATAGGGAAGGGAATGAGGAGCATCATGCACTGATTTTAAAAGCTTCCATTCAGGTGCCTGAGTGGCTCAGTTGTTTGAGCGACTGCCTTCAGCTCAGGTCATGATCCTGGAGTCTCAGGATGGAGTCCACATCGGGCTCCCTGCTCAGTGAAGGGGTCTGCTTCTCCCTCTGACCTTCCCCTTCTCAGGCTCTCTCTCTCTCTCTCTCTCAAATAAATAAATAAAATTAAGACAAATAAAAGCTTCCATTTACATTTCTTTGGCCAAACCATGCTATATGGCAATGCCTATGAAAGCAAATGGGGGAAGTGCAAGCTCACCATGTGCCCAGGTGAACAAAAATTTGTGTGACTGGTCCTAATGACTAATGCAGTGTTTGTGATTACAAAGTTATTCTTCGTGCTTTACCAGCTGGCTTTTCTGCTGGCAGAGTGGCTTCTTGTTTGTCTGATGGAATTAAGAAAGTCGATAATTTCTGGTGTTCCACAGGTGCAATGACACCTGAGTTCATTTGAAAACTGCTGGCCCAACCCATCATGGGAATTCCAGTTAGATGGGCAGGTATCACACCACACAGACAACCCTGTCCATCACAACTCAGGTCAGTCGTATTTCCAGACCATGGTGTACATGAAATATAAATCTGGGTACTAGTTTGGGTTTTGGGAACTGGAGAACTGGAGAAAAATAAATGGGCCTCTCGGAGAGAAAAGAATCCAATCCGGCCAGTTTTCTGAGTCCCGTTTGATTTACAATAACATGGCACCACTGCACGGGGCGGGGCGGGGGGTGGGGGGGGTGGTGAAGACCATAGTGTTATGTCATGAACGGGCTTTAAATCTCAGAGAGTCACCTTCCTTTCCTGTCAAGTGAAGAAGTTAAAAAAGAACAATTTTTAAATACACAACCCTCTACAAAAATAAATAATATTCAGAATCTCAGTGTGTAACATAGATACAAAGTGATGCTAAAATGAGGGGGAAGAACCACCCCACATCCCATAATACGTCACAGAAAACAGCAGTCCTTGAAACATGCTCACATAGAATCTTTAGAACTCCACGGAGCATGACTTTTAAATGCTAGGATTCTGTAACCTCTAAGATGCTTCCCTGTGATCCCGTTATGCTAGTTTTAATGCCAGCACTTCCTGGTTCCAAGTCTTAAAGAGACAGCGCTCTTCTGATTGCGGCTGCGCACAGGGGGCGAAGATGGCGGTTCGGGAGGCCGCTCCCACCGCAGCTGCAAGAATGTTGGTGACTAGATTATTTGGCCTCACTGGCAAAAGTGCCGTTTCCTCCTCCGTGTGCTCCATGCGAGCACGTGGAAATGTGAAGAGTGGAGACTATGCTCTGCCAATTTGTGTTGACCGGCTCCACTATCCCTTGCCTGATGTGGCCTACGTCAAGATTTTCTCCGCCAGCCGGATGGCCTTGAAAGAAAAGGAGGAGGACCCCTGGAGCAGCTTCTCCATGGCTGAAGATGTTGAATTGTGCCTCATTAAGTTCAGCGAAAACTTTGCTGACAGGAACAGGAGCACGAACAAGTGCAAGCCGGCTGTGGGCGCCGCCATGTTCTTCTGGGGGGGGCCCCGCTCCGGGTCTGATCTGAGAAAAGCGCTGTGTGTACGGCCCCTTCCTACACATCTCTGAAGGGTGGCCAAGCCGACCCAGAGGATGTTGGACGTCAGGGCTTCTCAGCCAAGTGGGACTGTGACAAGAAAAAATAGACGAAATAAGCACCCTCTGCTCACGCATCTGAGCCTCACCTTGTTCTACCACCTCCATGCAGTTCAGCGTTATTTACTGGAAACTGTTGTGTTGTAGTACGAATGCTATTAAGGGAGCAGTTTATGTGGAAGAAAAAATAAACAGCCAGCATTCACAGTGCTGCTTCCCTGGCCCGGTGGTTGGCCTAGGCTGCACACTGCCCCTCACCCCTCCATGCACCCCTCGCCTACTCCCCATGCCTTAAAAATCGTTATTATTGCAATCCCAAAGCTCCGTGCCCAGGACTGCCAATAACGCTAACATCTTTTGCCTCTGCTTGCAAGAGGGTAAGCCATGCCTGTGGTTTTGAAATCTCACAGACCAAAGCTCTTCTGTTTCTATGCCTAGGCTCTGTTTCCTCTTCTCTCATCAAGTGCAGCTTTTCTATCATCCAGGTGTCATAAGGTTTGGTGAAAGGCAGTGGAAGGAGGCTCTCATCCCAGCGGAGAATTCGAGAAGTTGGTAATTCTCCAGGTAGTTAATGAGGACTGTGCTAGACACTGGGAACGCCTTTGGAATGTTAAACAAAGTGGCTTTTATTCTGGCCGTCTTGCGCCTGCTGCTTCCTCACAACAAAGGGACTTACTGTGCTCTTGATGGGTGGGTCTGAACATCACTTGGCCAACACAGCCCCAGGCCTGCCTTCAGCCTGTTGAGTTTGCCTCCTCTCAGAGGGTTTCTGATGGAAAAAGGACAAGACCTTTATTTTAAGACTCATAAATACCAAAAACTCCCTTTCCAGTCACTGACATTTAAATGCTATACTAATTGTCTATAAGCCCTGTCTTTATCTAGGTCATTTGCCTTGTCATTATCTGAGCCATTCCCTAGCTGCTTGTGACTCAGAGTGGTCTGAATGCTAGACATCAGCTAGAAATTTGGTAGAAATGCAGACCCTGAGGCCCTATCTCAGACCAACTGGATCAGAATTTAGAATTTCCCTTTTCAACAAGATTCCAGGTCTTTAGTCTATAAAACTGTAAAAGACTGAATGATTCTGTTGATGATGACAACCCAGCTGTCTCTGAGAAGGACATTGTTTGTCACAAAACGCAATCATCCAGGAGTTGGGAGACCTGGCTTCCAGTCCTGACTTGGCCACTAACTCACTGAGCGGCCTTTGCCAAGTCACTTAACCATTCTGGAATCTTGGATTTAGCTGAACTCCTGACTCTCCAAGTGTCTGCTCTGAGGACAGAAAACAGAAAGGTAAGTGCCCTCCTATATGCTGATGACATGGTTTTATGGCCAAACACTTAATAGACAGTTGTCCCCAAGATCTAATTACTTTCAAAAAGAAGAGCTTCAGAGCAGCTACCATAGTCACTTTGTTTTGTTAATTGTCCTTTAGGATTTGTTTTATCAAACACAGATCTTTCTGTGGCAATTCACTTCATTCACTTACCTGGGGGTACTTTTTTGTACCTCTTTGCCCTTGAGCTCTCTTGGCTTCCAAAATGTGTGCAGTCACATCTGCCTTATCATACAGGGCTGTATGAGGATCTCCTGAGAAAGCATCTTGAAAAGTATGAGGTGAAGCCACACCCATTGCAGACTGACAGAGCCTTTTGGGAATGCCATTTGGTAATATGAATTTTTAAAACCTTTAAAATATGCATAGCCCTCCCAGCAAATCATCTGCTAGGCATAGAACCCAGGGAAAAAATTATGAATGAGTCCGAAGGCTGTTAATATCTGTAGCATTGTTAATAATAGTGAAATATGATAACTTAAATGCCCAACAACAGGGAATTGATTAAATAATAAAACAATAAAAATAAATAGTAAATGAGGGTACTCACATAATCGAATTCCATGGGCACAAACAATGCTAAAAACAGGTATTGAAAGATGTGGAAAGCTGTTGATTTCTCACTGACTAATGAAAATATACTGAAGACTGTAGTGTGGAGTGTGATTAGACTCCAATTTGAAAATAAAGTGTTTAGATATGCATGGGAAAAACACTGAAAGAATGCACGTTGTTTGTGAATACTGATACACTCTGATTATGGGCAGTTTTATGTACGTTGTTTTGCTTACCTCCATTTTCCGTAGTTCAAGTGCAGGGAAAAGTTTTTGTTTTGATTCCTAACAAAATAGAAGCACTGTTTTTATCATCACTATTCATCAGTGGAGAAAGCTCTGTCTGGCTGGAGGAGAGCAGACTTTGAATAATACCTCTGCAGTGTCTGCAGGGGGTGGTGAGTAGAGCTGTCTTTTGCATTCAGGGGCTCAGAGGAGAGGGTGGTCCTAGGGAGGAAATCATAAATTCTTCCCGGAGGACAGAAATGGAAACTCACAGCCCTGCAAACAAAAAGGCAGCAGAAGTAGGTGGCATGCTTCCTGAAAGGCTGTCAAAACACTACTTCAAAGCCAGACTGGGGGCATACAGACAGCAGTTCTCCTGTCTCTTTAACTAAAAGCAGCAAGGACAATTCACCTGCCAGATAGTCCTTCTGAAACCCAAAGGAAGGTGCTTTGTTTCAGCAGAGTAGAGGAATTTGATTCTATGATCTTCCCTCTTCATTCATTGAAAGGTAGGTTTGGTTTCTTCATTTTAAATACCTCTGTCTGGGGGCACCCGGGTGGCTCAGTCAGTTCAGTGTCTGACTTTGGCTCAGGTCATGATTTCAAGGTTTTGTGGTCAAGCCCCAGGGTGGGCCCTGCATCTGGGCCCTGCATCTGGCCCCGGATGGGCTTCCCCCACCAGCGTAGGGCTCTGTGCTCAGTGGGGAGTCTGCTTCTCCCTCTCCCTCTGTTGGGGGGGAAGTCCTCCCACTCTAAAGCAGAACTAAGAGTGATGCAAAGCCTGCTTTGGCTTTTCTATTGCAAATAGTGGTGATGGTGACTGTGGTGGCAGTTAGTGGTGATACTGGTAGTAATAACAGAGGAAGTAGCAGTTGTACTAATATGTGCCAGCTGTTTCCCTGAATGATTTTATTTAAAATCTTCATAAAAACCCTTGGAGGTTCAGAGTATTATGAAGGAGGAAACCAAAACTCAGGAAAGTAACTGGCCCAGAGTCACAGAGTAGGAGCTGGAAGCTGGATTCTAATTGGGTTTGTGAGCTCTGAAAATCTTTCTTTCTACAGTAACACACTAGAAAATTAAGGTGCTCCAAGTCCCAGTTATATTTATCAAAAGGCTGATGTTTATAGGCTAATTCAGCCCTTGTTTTACCCCCCATACATGGCCTGAAATTGGTTCTAGAATTGTCTGCAGGAGTCAGATTACATTCAACAAACTCAAAATGCCTTTTTTTTTTTTTTTTTTTTGAAGCTCAGTCTCTTCTTATGTCAGCAGTTATGAGACTCTTAAAATACTTTTCTCTCTACTAAAGAATCACTTCACTTTCAGGAGATAGTACTCTTCCGCCTGGATAATGTACCAAGCAACATTCCCTGATTTGGCTATCACTAGTGGGAGGCTTTCCCTGGTCTCTCCCCTGCTAGAGCACTGTTTGCTGATGAAAAGAATTTAAGACTGCTGCACTCTGACCCTACCCAAGAGTATTTAGTCGGAAAAAGATGAAAAGAAATTTTATTTCTCAGCTTTTAACAGAGTGATTTGGTGTCTTATTTTTGCCAGTGATGAAACTGAACTGAAGGACATTATATAGCAGAGGTACATTTCTTTTTTTTTTTTAATTAAAGATTTTATTTATTATTTGACAGAGAGAGACACAGGGGGAGAGGAAACACAAGCACGGGCAGTGGGAAGGGAGAAGCAGGCTTCCCGCCAAGCAGGGAGCCCATTGCAGGGCTCGATGCAGGGCTCAATGCCAGGACCCTGGGATCATGACCTGAGCCGAAGGCAGATGCTTAATGACTGAGCCACCCAGGTAGCCCCAGAGGGGCATTTCTGCAGTGGCCTACTTGTCATGAACCCATCTACCTACCCAGGGGAACACCCCCCACTGCCTTCTGCTAAGCCAGAAATGTGGGGATTGTCTGGGTATCAGGAAAGAGATGTCTCCCAAAGGCAGTGGTGAATCAATGGAAGCATATTAGACAGAGGCCCTGTACTTAAAGATTAGAGAGAAGCAGGAAATGCATCAGGAATATTTTCAGCTGTAAGTAACAGAAAACCAATAAGGAGTACCTTTTTAAAAAGTAGAGTTATTTTTCTCCATAACAAAAAGTCTGTGGGTAGATAATACATAGTTGTTTTAGCAGCTCAACAATATCATCAAATTCTCTGTTGCCTATTTTCTACCCCAGATCTTCAGCATAGTAGCATTTTAATTTTGTCTGTCACATGTTTCAAAAGGGCAACCACAGCTCCAGATATTATATCTATGTTTAAGGCAAAAAAGAGAGAGTAGAGAGTATTGCTAGCCACGTCCAATGATTTCATTCAAAATGAGAAGTCTTTATGAGAAGTTCCTCAGCTGATTTTTTTCAACTTAGATTCCATTGCCCAAAATGGTTACATGAACCAGCCCTTACTGTGAAGGAGGCTGGAAATATAAGTACCTGGTGAATGGAATTACAGTCAATGACTTTGACTAATCAGATTCAACCTCTGAAACTAGGCTGTTGCCATCCCAAAAAAACAGGGCAATCAGAAGAGCTAAACAAAATCATGGTATTGTGGGGAGATGGAGGGATGGCAGATGACTGGCTAAAATTGTCTGTCACAGTGAGTAAGATTCAAACCAGAATGAGGAGACCCCATTGGAGTTTAATGTCTAATGCTATGAACTCAGCCATCCCAGCTACACATCAGGCTGAAGACATACCTTATGATTCCAGGCATGCCTCCCTAAGGAGGGAATGTAGAACCAGCATCTGGAATCAGTGGTGACAATGTTGAATGTTAGTGGTCTTATGTGAACAGTTGTTGATATGTCCTGAGATTATAATCTTTCTGGTCCCTTGGAATATAGAGGTCTCTTTGCTGCCTCTACCACTGCTAATTTCTTGGAATTAGATACTTATAGACTTTTCTTTGGAGTGGGGGGGGGTTGGGTGGCAGTGAGCACAGAGGGAGAGAGAATCTCAGGCAGGCTCCATGCCCAGCTCAAAGCCTAAGGCGGGGTCTTATCTCACAACCCTGAGATCATGACCTGAGTGGAAATTGAGTTGG